ACTATTTTATTATATTTATTAAAATGTCAAATTTACATGAAAACTTAAATTAGAAAATATTCATCTTAATATATAACTTAATTCTTAATTATAATTATTTAGTTAGATTTTTAGTTTTAATTAATTAAAGTGACTATTAATTTATAAAATGGAAAAAGTAGTTTAAGATTTTATAATATATAACGGTAATAAGAGTCATCGAGGCGATTCCGCTATATCCGATGACGACCAACAAACTGCCCAGGTCCTGTATTGATGAAATCCAAGGTTTGCAAAGAAGATTTGTGTGGGGTGATACCGATGATAAACGAAAAATCCATGTTGTTGCATGGGATACGGTTACGCTGAAAGATTTACATGTTCTTAATCAAGTTTGTTCAATGCAGCTGGGATGACAAATGTACAACATCTCCGATGAGCTTTGGTTCAAGGTGCTTAGAAGCAAGTACAAAATTTACAATAGCAACGATTACTTGAACAAGAAAGTTGATGCTTCAAGTTTGTGGCAGGATATTGTTGCTGCTATTCCTGTTATGTTAAAGACTGGTAGATGGCAAGACGGTTAGGGCTTGGGAGGACAATTGGTTAGGATTGGATTCCTGCTTGATTGATCTTCAAGTGACTATTCCGGACAATCTAAAAAATGCCAAAGTGTGTGATCTGGTCAATGATAAGGGAGACAGGAACTTGCAGGTTCTTGAGAATTGGATGTCGGCCCATTGGATTGCTTGTTTAAAAGCGTCTGTGCCACAGAGTATGGAGAAAATTGACGATATCTTTTATTTTGCAGGTACTAGAAACAATGAATTTTCAATAAAGGAGATGTTTAAGGAGATAGAGGGATATAAGTTCAAAAATGCCGATGGAGATTGGAATAAGATCTGGAAAGCTTTGGTGCCGAAGAGGTGTAAAAGTTTTCTTTGGATTCTCAAGCATGATAGGTTATTAACAAATTTTAGTAAGAGTAAGAAAGGCCTCGGCAGTGCGGTGTGTAAGATGTGTGGGGTGCTCATGTGAAACTACCATTCATGCCATGAGAGACTGTCTAAGTTGCTTGCAGGTTTGGAAAAGCTTGGTTCCTAGTGACATCCTTGTTGACTTCTTCAGAGTGGATCAAGTTAAATCTTAATTATAATGGTATGTGTCATCCGAATTGAAGTGATACTTGGATCTTTGGTCGTGGCGCAATTTAGAAGAGCATCAAGATGATTATATGAGGCCGCCGGATCCCATTGGGCATATTTTGAAACAAGGAGAAAATTATAAGCAAGCTGTGAATTTGTATAGAACTGCGAGAGATGATACTAGTGGAAAGAATTTTATAGGTTAGCATGATAAAATTAAACACTGATGGAGTTAGCAAAAGCAATAACATTGCTGGATGTGGTGGTATTATTAGGGATTATAATGGTGATTGGAAATGAGGTTTCTCCAAATTCATAGGGGCCAGTAGTGCTATTCTGGTTGAGTTTTGGGGAGTGTTAGAGGGTCTGCAGTTATCGCTTAAGCTTGGGTACAATCAAGTGGATCTTAACGTAGACGTTATGGAGGTGGCCAAAGCCATTAATGATGGTAAAGTGGGGGTGGTGGAATGTGTTGCTATTCTCACAAAATTTTTGGAGGTCATTTCTAGTTTTGCATATTCCTCGTAACGCAAATGCTTGTGCGGATTGCTTGGCTAATCAGGGATGCAAGGATAGACAATTTATTTGCTATAAGGAAGCTCCTCAGTTTTTGAGGCAGGCTGTTGTTAGATGCTGATACTAGTGGGGCTATTCCTTTTCTTGATGGTTTAGAGTAGTTGTTTTTCTTTCAAGCTTATGCTCTCCCTCTAATAAATAAAAATAGTAAAATACTTTAAAGAATGAAAAATTAATTTAAGAGTTTATAATATATAACGGTAATAAGAGTTATGAAAGTAGTAAAACACCTTAAAGAATGTTTGCTGACCTATAATTTATAAAAATTAATGCCATATTTATTTGAGAGTTTTCTAAAAAAAATTTATTTGAGATTCATATTAAAATAAATATATAGATTCTATTAAATTTATAAAATAAAAAATCACATATCAATAAAAAAAATTTAAAATATTTTAATAGAATTACTCGATTTCTATTATGGCTCACAAACCAAGGACAGACATACATGTAAAGAGAAACATGAATTATTATATAAAATGAGCACCACCAAAAATTTATTTTGTAAAAAATATTATAAATCATTATCACATATTTATATACATGATAATTATGAATATGAATAAAACAATAACAAATAATAAAATTAAAAGTTATATAAACACAATAAATAGGTGAATGATTATAATTAAACAATAACCTTTACACAAATTTTAAAAAAGTTCAAATATTTAGTAATATATTTTTATATTTATTCTATTATTAGCATTTTTACATTATTATTTTTATGATATTTTTTGTACTTTTCTCTTTTACTTTTCACCATACTTACTATTCATTATCATAAGTTCAATTAGTTTTAACTTATTAATCAATTTTTAGCATCACTATTTTATACATTGTTATTAATGTTTATTTTTTAATATTAAAATATATTACAAACTAATATCTTAATATATGATATGATAAATTTGAATAAAATAAATATATTATTTAAATAGAAGCATGCAACTATTTTATTATATTCATAAAAACGTCAATTTATATGATATGTGAAGTTGATTAAGTATAGATAATATCATACAAAATTATTAATATAAAACAATTAAAAGATAATTATTTCCTATTATTGTAAGAATTTTTTTAAATGGACCCTTTGTTCAATTTTATTAAACCATTTTTTTAAATTTACATTATTATTATTATTATTTATAAAAGTTTATAAAAAATAAATTTTTTTTTTAATATTAAAATATATTATAAACTAATATCTTAATATGATATGATAAATTTGAGTAAAATAAATATATTATTTAAATAGAAGTATGTAACTATTTTATTATATTAACAAAAATGCCAATTTATATAAAAAATAAATGAGATAATATTCATCTTAATATATAATTTAGGCTAGATTTCTAGGTTTTAATATTTTAGGAAATTTGATTAATAATAATTTTTATTTGGAGGTTTTTAAAAGTGGTAATTGAATGTTATATTATTATTATTATTATTATTATTATTATTATTATTATTATTATTATTATTATTATTATTATTATTATTATTATTATTATTATTATTATTATTATTATTATTATTATTATTATTATTATTATTAATGTTATTATTATTATTTAAAATAGTGGTTGTTGGATATTAAATTATTATTATTATTTAATTAGAAATTGAATATCATATTATTATTAATTAGAAATTGAATATCATATTATTATTATTATTTATAATAGTGGTTGTTGGATATTAAATTATTGTTATTATTTATTTTAATATATGAACAAACAAATAAAAATACAATTAGGATTTATAATTAGAATTACTAAGATGAGATGTGGTTTAACATTGGTACTAAGATGACATGTGGTCAAGGTTGCCATCATAACATTTTTGAATTTAGAGTAAGTAGATTAAATATTATTGGGTCTAAAATCCATGAAACTCGTTTCATAGTTATTTTTGAAGTCTAAATATTGTCATTTATATTTTTACTATTAGTATAGTATACCCAAGTTGTATGTAAAGCTAAGCAAGTGACTAAGATATTTAGGTTGACAACGAGCTTTCTTTGACCATATAACAATAAAGTGATAAACCGAAGACCTTTATGGAGAGACATTTCAACCAAAACATATAGATAGATTGATATACTATTCGAGGTAAGATAATTAACAATTTTTAGATACAAACTATATTGAATTATGTCCATTTCAGTGTGTCACCTTCAATTTGTACAAAACAAGTTATATCTACATGTTTTATCATAGGGCTGATAAAATAGATGGATTGAATGAATATGGATTAAATTGTTAATGGGTGGATCAAAATAAATCATTAATTCATTAAACCTTCTTTAAATATATTCAATCTAATCCATTCATTTAAAAATAAAATTCATTCAATTCATTCGTTAACAACATATTTAAAAATAATATTCATCTATCCAAAAAAACAGTTATCATTTTTTAAAAAAAAGAATTTTGCCTGCTTTTTTTTAAATAAAAATCGAAAAAACAATTTATTTTCACATTTTTTTAAATAAAAAATTTTTATAATTTTTTATTTGAGAGTATTTTTTTCAATTTATAAAAAAAAATTCAGTTTTAAAAAAAATGCAGTTTTTAAAAAAAAAATACAAAAATAGTATTTTTTAGAAATAAATAAATATTTTTTCAGTATTTTTTGGGAATATTTTTTTTTTCAGTTTTTCAAATAAAATTTAAAAAAAATCAGTTTTTTTTTAAAAAAAATTCAATATTTAAAAAAATAAATCAGTATCTTAAAAAAAATTCAATTTAAAAAAAAATCAATTTTTAGAAAAATAAATAAATACAAAGTTTTTTAAAATAAAAAATACAAGTTTTTTTTAAACAAAAGTTTCAGTATCTTTTTTAAAAAAAAATCAATATTTTTTTCAAAAAAATAAATTTCCAATTTTTTTGGAAAAACAATATTTTTAATTCTGAAAAAAAAAACAGTTTTTTAAAAACTAAAATTTTCAGTTTATTTTCTGGAAAAATAAAGTAAATATTTCAGTTTTTTTTAAAAAAAGTTATAAAAGAAATATTTAAAAAAAAAGAAGTTTCAGTATTTAAAAAAACAATTTAGTTTTTTTTTCAAAAAAAGTAAAATTTTAATTTATTTTTCAGAATAAAATTTTGTTTTCAGTTTTAAAAAAAAAATCAGTTTTTTTTTTCGGAAAAAAGGTAAATAAATTTTTAGTTTTTAAAAAAAAATGTTTCAGTATTTTCAAAAAAGTTCAGTTTTTTTTAAAAAAAAAAATCAATTTTTTATTTCAAAAAAATAATAATTTTTTCAAAAAAAAGATTAATATGGTGGATGATCAACTTTTCGATTTTTTATTTATTTAATCTAAAGAATAATTAATTGAATTACTAAAATATGGTGGATGAAGTAGATCATTTAATATATATATATAAATGGATTGATTTGATCAATTCATTAACCTATTTTTTATTTAATGAATAGATTGAATGAATTTTTTATAAATAAATTGAATGAATTTTATTTTAATAGATTCAATTGTGATTCCATACGTTGTAACCACTTTTATATACACGGGATATATTGAACAAACAACCACTCAAACAGTGTCTCGTTGGTCGTTTGGCACTGAAATAATGTGGGTTTGGCTTCATGTTTATAAGACCATGTGTAATGGGTATGTTGAGTTTGAACTCAACATGCAATATCTCCTCCAATGGGTGTTGAGAGAGGTGTTGAGTGTGTGTTGGAAGAGAGAGGTGTTGAGAAAACTCAACACAATTGAAGCTGCCACGTGGCTGTGCTTGATTGGCTGACCAGATTTTTTTTCATTTAATACTTTGAACTCAATTATTTCGTTGCAAATTAATTTTTTATTTTTATTTTTTTTTACCAAAATTCATGATTTTTTTTTCTCTATAAATAGAGACTTTGTTCATTTGATTTGGACACAGAAAAAAAACTAAGTTTTTCACTATCTTAATTTTATTATTAGTGTTTATTTTGAAGTTAAGTGTCTTTTTTTAGTGAAATGGATCCCAATAATCATTTTAACACTCAAAATTCTGCTAATTTTCCATTTAACCAAAATCCCAACATGAAAATAATAAAATTAAATAAGAATATGAAAATAAAAAGTAAAATTTAAATCCCAACATTTAACCAAATTCTGCTAATCATAAAAATAAAAATAAAATTTAAATAAGAATATGAAAATAAAAAGTGGTGGGGTAGGGTGTTGAGTGAAAAACCATTGGAGAGGATAAAAGTTGAATGAGTATTGAATTATTAGGTGGAAGAAAGAGAAAATGATGTGGAGTGTTGGGAGTTGAAAAAGTGGGTGTTGAGTTTTTTAACCATTGTAAATGGTCTAATGGATTCTTCTGTGTAATTGAAAACTACACGTGTCACGTGTCAATAATTAAATGAACACCTGGTGGGCTTTATAGGCTTAGAGGAGGATGTCTTATGGGAATTTTTTATCAACATACACCCCTTTTAACAACTATATCCCAATATACCACACCTTTCAACCATTATTCCCAATATACCATCTTTTCAAAAAAAAAAAATTGGAATTAGGAGGCTCCGCCCAATGGATGGGCGGATGGTCTTAAAAATACACAGCTTCCGCCCATTGCATTGGCGGAGCTGTGTGATCAACGTTTTTTTTTTATTTAAATAATTTTAAAAATATATTAAAATTGCTGTTAAATAAAAAAATAATATATTTGTATAAAATGAATTTGATATATTCAATTTTAAGTCATTTTAATAAAATTATTAAAATTTTAATATACAAATAAAATTTATTTTAATGTAATTTTAAAAATAAATTAAAATTATTATTAAGTAAGAAATCAATATATTTGTATAAAATGAAATTGAAAAATTCAAATTTAAGTCATTTTAAGTAAATTATTAAAATATTAATATACAAATAAAATTTATTTTAATGTAATTTTAAAAATAAATTAAAATTATTATTA